GTGTTTTGTTTTGGCTGGCATTCCCCTGTAAAGCATGAGAAAAATCAAAGAAAGACTAATTGACATAGATACAGAAGTTCAGTATAAAATTTTATTATGAATAAATTGAATTTCATGATCTTTATTTTGCGCTATTTCTAGTATTTACTAAAAAAAAATCCTTTACATTACATTGAGTGTTACTTTTATGCTGTGGGAAAATTCTGTTTCATATTCCAAACCTCATAATTGCAAGCAGCAGATTCCCTGAAGCCCGGAGATTACACATTACAATAAACCATGCATATTCCTTCTTCAGGCAAAATTAAATTTACAAATGTACTCATTAACATAGCCATTTTGAAAAAGCGCTAGCCACATTTTGATATAAAATTTTCTATATTTGCCTTGTTACATCTGTTTAAAAAGATTGACATCTGTTGAATAGTACTGAAAGGATTTTTCCATATATATATATTGGCACAAGTGGAGCATAAGACAACAAATACAACAAAAGAGCCACAGAGCTAATGTGCAATGATTGCACAATTTCAGGTATTTTTTTTCTCAAATTTTGTATCAAATATGAACCTAAAGCTTGATAGCATGTATTTCTAAATAAACATGCACAAAATCAGAATTAAAATCACCATTAAAATAATTGATTTTTTTCAACATACCTACTAACTTTTCCAATTCCCAGGCATGTTACACATAATGGTAACTTACGCTACTCTTGGTGGTACTGAAAAAGCCTGTTTTATTCTTTTCAAATATTTCCATGAAAACATGGAATTACAGAAGTTAAATCTGATTGGCTTTATGGCAGTATAATATGACATTATCTCCCTGTCCTATACAATCTGTTTTCTGGTTTAATCAGGTTTTCTATCCCAGTGATGGTGAACCTTTTAAGAGACTGAGTGCCCAAACTGCAACCCAAAACCCATTTATGTATCGTCGGGTGCCGGGTGGGTGTGACCCATTGAGTGGGTGTGACCCATTGGGTGGGCGTGGCTGCAGTGGTAACGGCATACTGGGTGGGACTAAAAAGTTCAATCAATTCCAACTTTGCAAGATCTTTTTTTTTCCTGCGAGAAGTTGAAATTGATTGATAAATTGAACCTTTTTTTTTTTTTGCACACAGTGGTGGAGGCCTAAAGTGAAAAGGTTTTATAAAACCCAGCTGAAGGCCTAGCACTAGCTCTGCATGCCACCTGTGGCACACGTGCCATAGGTTCGTCACCACGGTTCTATCCAATCCTTTACTAAAAGAGCAGCTGCTTTCACTAAAGGAAACATGGCATTGTCAGAGGACATTTTAAATTTTAAATTCAGGCTTGGGAGGGGGTAAAATCCCTACTGCTAACACCAGAATTATTGGAATCCACCTAAAAATTGAGTACATTGAAGGGATAGTCTCATGTTCCCATAATGCTGAGCAGCCATCTTACAATGAGAACTACCCTAACCCCCCAAAGAACATGAGAGCTGTAAGTGAGGGTAGTATTTAAAACCCTCTCCTTTTACTAATATCTCTCTAGCTTCTTACTGGGAAAATATATTGGTATCCAAATGAATCTCCTTAACTGAAGGAGTTCTCTCCCATTATTCCCTTAACTAAAAGGGTGAAATAGATCCTGTCTCATTACACCATTATGTACTGCACATGCAAAAGTATTCTGCGATTAATAATACGCCTGAAAAATAGTCTCAATTTCCAATAAGGAGTGAGATACAAAAAAGAGCAGCAGCCCTCATCTTTGTTGGATTTTCTAAGTTAGATGTCATTCTGTATGTTCTGGAAGTTTCCTTCTGAGCTTTCCAAAACTTAAAAAATACCACATTACATATGAAAAAAGGCAATAATACACTTGTTCCTTGCAAAAGGTTTTAAAGTGATCCCCATTGGATTTGCCTCTTTTCAAAGATACAGACAAAAAAAGAGAGGGGAAGAGATGCCTAATTCATCCCATGCAAATTACTAAATTATTTAAAGAACCTAATCCAGGCAAATTCATCAGAAAACTTTTAACTGCTAAAGAATACAAGTTTACAGTTTATAAAATTATGTAAAAATAAATGGTGTACAGGTAGTCCTTGACTTATGACCGCAATTGGGACCAGGCAGTCTGTCAATAAAGGGGTGGTCATTAAGTGAGTTGTGCCCAATTTTGACATCTTTTTTGCTGCCGTAGTTAAGGGAATCTGGATGTTAAGTGAATCATGCAGTTGTTAAGTGAATCCCGCTTCCCCCATTGACTTTGCTTGTTGCAAACTGGCTGGGAAGATTGCAAATTGTGATCACTGCAACAGTTGCTAAGTGCAAGGACCAGTCGTAACTTTTTAGTGCTGTCGTAACTTTGAATAGTCATTAAATGAATAGTATTACATTGAAATCCCTCATAGAGATTTTCTTGCTGACAATGCCTCCTTAAAGTAATAAATCCAGGATGGATAAGTTCTAGTTGTGTACTAAAAATATCAAAGGTCAGACAAACATTTTGCAAATAGGAAAAAGGATCAAAACATTTAGGAAATAGTAGTATGTTTGCTAGACATTTTCAACTGGCTGAAGTGGTGCAGGCAAGTTCAGTGATATTCTGCTTACAGCTACATTACTAGGTGAAAAACCAAAGGCGCCTGAAATTCCCAAGGTCAAATGAACTTCAGGGGCATTGAACTGAATATACAATTCTAGAGAAACATAAATGAATTCAGGATAAAATAACTTGCAAACCACATTAAATAAAACTTGGACATCTTAGTGTTGAATCTAATGCTATTTGTCAGCAAGATATCGCTGGAAGAGTCTACTTGTAGCTTTCCCTGTCATCAACTTCCAATGTGCTCAGAGAGATTAAGGAAACCTCAATAGCAAAGCTGGGATACAGAAGGAGGAACAGATTTTCTTTTATCCTTTTGCACAAATTGAATGCAAACCTTAGAAAAGCAACTCAAAATAACATAAAACAACATATACTTCAACAACTTTTCATGAGTAAGCAATACAAAAAAATTAGAGGAAGATATTCTGTCTTATCGTTTTACACTATAAGCTTGGCACACTTAAAATATTACCATAAAGGAAAACTGGATCTTTCACATATACCAAAGACATGATTTACAGTAGTATACAGTATAGAACTGAGGTGATCACATAATTTTACATGTGGGACATTGAACTGCAACCCGCACTTCATCTTTTTTAGGTATCTGTTTTGAGTAACTTAGAAAAATGAGTTTATCATTGTATTAATGGCTTTGGGTTATTTCAGTTTTTATTACATTCTTGGGTATGTCTGGGATCCAGTCCCTGCATGCCTATTAAGCATCTCCTTACTATAATTTCTTGCATGTGATAGAGCGGAGAATACTGTCTCCCCTCAGCACAAAAGGAAGTCCTTTTTAATTGAGGTCCTGGAATTAAATAATTAGGCTGCTCCTGAAGCTTAAACTTAGAACAAGACCTAAAGCAAGAAATGACTCAAACGTGAACATTGGAAACACATTTAATTTTACCTGTAATTTAAACAGGGCTTTAATTCTTATGTATCATTCAGATTTTATTTCACAGGTTATAAGAGCTTCATGTGTTTAAGAAGGTTACTGGAGTGAATGAGAAGGAGGAAGATGTACTATGAAAGCACACAAAATAGAGATCCATAAGGTTAATCTGATGAAATTAATTCACAGAATCGTTCTAGATGTAAGACTAAAAGGTATTTTTAGTGCACTGTTAACTGGTATCCTCATTCCAGTTAGCACACTGAAGTTCAGTAATTTATTTTTCTAACAAGGATCAGAAAGTTGTAGAAGAGGTTATTTTATTTATGTTAGGAGATGAGATTTAAAAAGTCTGAGAAATACCATTCAAGATACTTGCAATTCAAATCAAGAAATCACATCATAATCCCCAGACCCTTGCTGTTTGCTGCAGAGCTCTTCATTCCTATTCTATATGTACAATAGGAACAATTGTACTCCGTATTATAGCCCGGACATAAAATAGCCATGAAGCGAAGGCAATTTTAAGAAAATGTCATTTGACCATATTTTATTCATATAATTCTTCCAGAGTTTTGTAATCTGAATGCATTTGTTTCTGTGCAAATCTAAAAGTTCTACCTAACTCTGCCAAAGAAGTGTTCATCCAATAAAATAAATCAACCACCATTTTGGATCCTGCCAGGTTATAAAATGAGCAAGTGCTCATTTTACTAGTCATCATACTTAACATTTACTGTGTGTTTCTAAACTACAGTATTTAATGTTCAATTTATTAAAATATTCAGAACATTTTTCTGAAGGAAGAGTATGTGATTGAAGTATATGTTCCCTTAAAAAATACTAGCATCAGCAGAAGGCTTTGCTTTGAATTCAAAATTGCCATGCATTTAAATGTTAACATTATTTTAAGATAAATCAGCTTTCAAATAATCCCTTCTCTCAATTTGTTTTGTTTTCTAAAACAACACAACTACACTAGTGTCTCAGAAAGAATGAGCTGCTGTGGTAATTAATTGTCCACAACAGAAAACAACAGATAAATTTTAGTTTTATGAATTCAAGACACTGGTTACGTATTGAATTATTATTGGGAGTTCCGGAGTATGTCATCTTTGCATCCCTGTGGTAATATTCTGCTCTTTTCTCGAGAGCCAAGAAGACCAGCCCAATTTCCACTTAACTTTGGAATCTAGAGACGTTGGGAGATGGTGCATTGTCCTGATGCTCAATATGCAACTACAAGATAATTTACTTTGGCATTTTTAAAATGCAAAGTATTGCCGCCATTTAAATAGTAACGAAGCACAGTCATAAATAGTAATGAAGCATAGTAATTAAAACAGCCTAATCAAGGAACAATCAAGAAGAAAACAACACTCCCACCAACACTGACAGGGCAAGCCATATATAAACAGAACAAATACCACTCCCTTTTAGCACTGAACATGTTATCTAATTGGGCAATGAAATGTCTTCAAGGAAAAAAACCAAGCTCAGAGAGCATCAAAGACTCCACAGTTCAACCCTGAACTGCAAATATTCTCTTATATTAGTAATGAAGGAATTAGGAAATCCAGTATTCAGTTGTTAATCCATAATAAGCTAAGACTCCCCCCCAAAACATATTGATTTAATAATCTGATTCCACAGCATTCCATCCGTGAATGCATCCTGTTGCTACTGAGTTTTACAAGAGGGGAGTGGGTAAACCACAGGTTTCTTAAAAATAAATGTTACTAAACATTCATTTCTCACTCCCATCCATTTTAGTTTTGTAAACAGAAAATGACTGGAATAAAGGACATACTTCCACCAAAAGCAAGGTTCACTTGACTATAGGAAATATAACATTACTCTTGTTCCATATTCTTGGCTGTTCCTGTGCAAATTTAATCACTGTCCGATTCCTCTTTGAATTTGGCTCTGATAGCCTGGCCATTCTGAAGTGGCATTTCTTCGTAGTCACTCCTGTCCAAATATATATTGAAGAAATGATACTTTAACATAAGCAGCAAAAATATTACAATTCCATACCATTTAAATTCTGGAATTTACTAGCTTTATTATTTTCAATCTGAGCTCTTTCCAGGTAAGTACGCAAACTATATTCCTTTATTTGCTTTCATCCTGTTTGGAAACTCCCCTTTTTTGATGCTTTTAAATTTGATTGTATTAGAAGCATGGTATAATCAGTTTAATTTAATTTTAATTGTGTTTGTTTAAAGCAATATTCATTTCAAATTTTGCAGCAGTCAAAATTCATCAAAAACAGAGATTCCAGGACAGTAATAAAAATCCTGAAAAAAATGAGCCACACAATTTTGACAGGGCTGATACATTCTATAGCTACTTAATACTGCATTTGCTTGAGAATGGATAGCTTGTAAAGCTAATTTCAAAGATATCAAACTTGGGACAAGAAAAAAAAATTAGGTACCAATCAGCATAGCCTAAAAAGAATCAAGGTTAAGATTGGGGAAAAAACTGACTAGGATCAATCATAAAATTCCCAAACCCTTCTTTCAAGCCAATCTAACTGACTTATGTACAGTATTTTTTTTATTTTACAATATTTACAAGCTACATTTACAGATCTAAATAAGAAAATCACTATTCTCCCTTATACAGTTCTTTGCTTTCATCCAATTTTGGAGATAATAATTCAACTGGCTTACTAGCTGCCTGGTGAACTTCGTAGATTTGCCATCTTTTTATAACAGTTTTATTCCTTTTGGGGCAAAAAAAACCCACGCACAACAGCAGTTGAACAATTTATGCCTACCTTTACCACATATTCATTCCAGAAGTACTTGCTTAGCATGTTTTTATTACATAAACAACTTCCGGGACAGGATAGGTTTTTTTAATGTAGGAAATGGAGAGGTCCGACAAAAAAGTGACAATACGTTTTATAGAACACTACAGAAACAAAGTGGGATTGATGACATTATTGCAAGTCTTACTTACCCATAGATAACATCGTCATCGGAATCATTCAACATGGAAAAGGCTGGGTTGTCTTTCAACTGAGATTCTGAAAGATATTTTGAATATAATCAATAAATGCATCTCTCTTCCCCAAAGATCAGTCATGTTATTAAAAGCCGTTTAATTCAGGTCTCTTCTTCCTTGTCACTCTTCGGTGCCAATTGAGTGAATATTAAATCCTCCTCTCTTTGCTTCAGTTTTCATTTATTTATTGTTATAGGTTGGAATTGGGCAATCATTTGGTGTAAAGGGAAATGGGCATCTTACCTTTATTGATTACTGTAGAGAGGGGAGGGTCCCATTACATATGTTGGGACTGAGATTTTAGGGATAGTTTCAGATTTTGCTCTGTTATCAAAGAATGGTGCTACTTTTTTTAAAGGCTCTTTTTTCCCCCCTCACATTCTTAATCTCAAAACACCTGGAAACTATGCCAAGTTCAGATTGCCTAACAAATTTAGTTCTGGAAGGTATAATAAAAAAATAATACCTGATATAACATGAATGCCCACAAAGAATATAATTTTACTATGCACTGCACCATTTGGTACTAAACTTCATAGCTTATCCATAGGTCAGTCAAACTGTATTTCAAACAAAAAACAAAACAGAATTTTGCCAAAAGAAGCAACAGAAATTAACTTACCATACAGGGCATTTTTTGATGGTGAATACACAAAGGCTAACGTGTATAGATAGAAATTTAATAAGCCATAGAATGATAAGAATTCTGCAGGTGATAACTGTCAAGGATATCATTACATATGAAACAATTCAACATGTCATCAAGATCTAAAGAACCATTCAAAAAGCTGAATGAGCCCCATTTTCTATTCCTCACCCAACAGTGATTTACACATTAAAACACTGAGTAAAAAGCCAGCCTCATAAAAACATTTGTACACATTTGTTTCCTAAGATCTTTTACAGCAGGGTCCCCAACTCTGGGTCCGTGGACCGGCACCAGTCTACGACATGCCAGAAACCAAGTCGCGCAAACAAGTGACGCCCCATCCATGGGATGCAGGCAGCACATGAAACCACACCCTCTCCAGTCTGCGGAAAAAACCTCTCTCCATGAAACTGGTCCCTGTTGCCCAAAAGGTTGAGGGCTGCTGCTTTACAGAAGTTTGCCAACATCCCACCAGCATTTAAAGCTACATTTGTTTGTGTTGCCCAAAGAGGGTCTTCCCTGTAGTTGTAACTAGCCTTTGGAAGTCTTGACCTTGGAAATTCCCCTAACCTTCAGTATGAAGATCTTCATCACCATGATGAAAAACAGACAAGCAAGCAAACAATCCTGAGTTGCTAGGTTTTAATCTTTGTGCATATCAGCCTTTTTATCTGACATGCTTTAATTTTTAACTTTAATTTGTATTGAATTTTAAACATTTTTTAAAATTAAGTTTTGAGCCAGTGAGATATTTTGAGGGTGAAATATTAGTGTATTCGACACATAAATCAAATAAGAACTAAATGATCAGGAAGACTTAACAATATTCATATTATTTTAGTGACTCAAATGACACATTGCACAAGAATCTAAATTTATATACATGGAAAGTCTATGGAGATTCTCAATCATCCAGGCCATGGTTGTCCCAAACGTGCTGTTCAAAAGGCAACTGGACTTTCTTGGAGTTTTTTTCCTTCAAAAACATTTCACCTCTCATTCAAGAAGCTTCCTCAGTTCTGGGTGAAAACTGAAGAAACCATTCCTCACCATTCAGCCAGAACTGAAGAAGCTTCTTGGATGAGAAGTGAAATGTCTTCAAGGGGAAAAAAAAACCCAAGACAGTCCAGTTGCCTTTTGAACAGCACCTTTGGGATACATACATGGAACCGGAGAATATTAACTGTGGGCTTCAGGGTAATAAGAATGTTTAGTCACTGTTGATTTTTAGAGACTACATAATGGACTATAAAGCCTATTTTACTTATTTGTGTATCAGTCTTTTCAATAACGATTGCCCTCCCATTTGATAGAAACTTTGAGCAGGATGTCACAGTAAAAGGATATAATTATGATAATGGGTTGAAAGCTCAGCCACAAAATTGTCTTGAAGAACCTGTGCTCCAAAACGCAAATAAAATATAGCAATGCTGCAAGAAGAAAAGAAATGAAATCAAAGTTCATTCTACATTTTTAATTCCAAGATCAATTAAATAAAAATCCATCTTTAAAATTAATATTAGGAAGCTATTTCCCAGGTAAACTGCAGAAAGTTGCAAATGGGCCAATTATAAACATATGCCTCCCAAGAATAATACAAGCGCCCAAATAAAGTAGGAATAAGTTAAATAAGACATCAAAATAATTGATGGGGATTATGGGGAGGAAAAAAGTTGTGTTTAATCTTGTAGGATTTCTTACAAAAAAAAACCCTACAATATTAATGGTTGACTGCTATGGTGTAAAATTTGCACAGTAAGAATGTCTAGACAGATTGTTTTAATTCTGTTCATTGAGTTTCTTTATTTTACCACCAATACCACCACTTAAAAAGAAAATATTACCAAAGTGCACTATCTAGTACAACGGTACCTTGTAAGTCGGCTGCCTTGTGAGTCACAAGGCAGCCGACACTGACAAGTTCTAACTTGTGTGTTGAGTACCAACAGGACAAAATGTTCGTGTCAAAATGCATTGAGTACCAAATTCAATGAGCTTCAAAGCAATTGAGTACCAACGTACCACTGTATCTGCTTATGTCAGAAAAGGGAGGTTGATCCAATGAAGTGCATCTAATATCTTGCACAACATCTTTCATATTTCACATAGAGTATTAGGAATGTGCAAAAAATTCTAGTCTGATAAATGTCAAGAGATTGTATTTTCCTTCCAGAATAAGTTGACCCAGCCATTAAAGAGTGGGGGTGGGTGGGTAAGGAAGGGTTGGGTCAATTTAGAGACATATAGCTTCCGAAACAGGAAGTAATTTGTCTCTCAAACATGGTCCATCCCCCCAAATGGAACATTTTGCACACTTTTAGGTATAACTGAATAATATCTTCAAACGAATAATATCTCACCTAATGATAAGCACTATGAATGTCAGCGCAGTCAAGAATTTCAACCTGAGATCTGAGAAAAGAAGAGCAAAGAGTTATTTGATAAATAACTTTCTAGAATGAAGTATCTTTCTAGAAGAATAACACATTATCAGAAATCACAGGTGAAGAATAGAGCTTACCAACGTAGGGCATATTCCGAAGCTCTGAGCACGCCCGGATTATTAGAAATAAAAGGTACAAAATGTAGACTGTCGCCACAACAAGGAAGAAGATTTTCATCCCCTATTACAAAATACATTTAAAAACCATTTTAACATTATTTTGATAGCACCACACTTCTTTTCTCCCACATTTGTGCATTATACCAGGAGTTGACAATTGTATCAGGCATTCAACACTATCCTTATTTTTACATGACTGAAAATTCAGGAAAGCGCCAAAGTTTGTAAGATTACAATAATCCCACCCCAAGGGCTTCAGTGACTTCTTGACCATTTTAAATTTTATTTTCAGTTATTGGGAATGACTCTACAGCCTTAAAATGGAGAAAAGATGCAAAAAATAGCAATTTCCTTTGTAAAATTGAGCAGTTCTCTGGAGTAAGTGCACAATTCTTAAAAACTCATAGATAGAACTTATTTTCATATGTGTTACTTATAGATTTTGTTTTTGAAAACCTAACTGGCAATAAATAAGAGAAAAAGAAAAAAGGAAAGCAAAAGATATACTAGAGATACCAAAAAGCTACTGGGGTAAATAAAAAGGAAAAATCTTAAGAATAAATCAAAAATTTAGGATCCAAATAAATGAAATGCTTACATGGCTCAATTTTGCTATATTCAAAGTAGATTGCATGCACTGCCAGAGAAGTAAACCAATTTTTTAAAATCTTTTTTTGCAGTAGTAGCTTTGAAAATAAACAAAGTTTAAGCTCTGGTACAGTTCTCCCTAATACATACAAATAATTTTAGATGTGGAGTAAGCAAATTTTTTTACACAGTTAAATAGACAGGTAAAAACAGCTCTATTTTCAAAATTATTTCCTATGCAAATCCAAAACTGCTTTATGCTAACATACCTGAAAGTTATTTGTGTCAGTCTCATATTGGTATGTTGGATCGTGTAGTTCATTGACCCTAAAAAACAAAACATGCCATGATCATTAATCTAAACATTTATCTGTAACAATCTAAAGGATATGATTTTGATATACCGTTTTTTCCAGCGTACAAGACGACTGGGCGTATAAGACGACCCCCAACTTTTCCAGTTAAAATATAGAGTTTGAGCGAGAGAGGGGGGGGAGAGAAAACTTGATGAGTAATATGCCAAACCACATGTGTAAAGGAATAAAATAGAATACCCGTATTTTCCGGCGTATAAGACGACTGGGTGTATAAGACAACCCCCGACTTTTGAGAAGATTTTCAGGGTTTAGAAAGTCGTCTTATACACCAGAAAATACGGTAGTTGGCTTTTTATTCTTCTAGAACTTTTAAAATATTTTCTAAGATCTCTTACTGGCCTTTTCAAAATTAAAATTTTAGCTCCCTTTTTCATTTATTGTTATATTAGTATTCATTCCAATATTATTGCTGTTTCTAATCTGAATTTTGTAAATTGTTTTGATGGGATAATTGGTATCTAACAAATAAAAAGAAGTAAATTACTTACGTTTGCCATATCCCTAGCGTAACAGAAGCCAGCCACAGGAGACCAACAATAAGGAATTTGGGAAAATAAAAGGTCATGCATTTCCTTTCTCCCTAAAAAAATAGAAAAGAGAAAGAAAAAGTGACAACCATATTGGATTTGCTTTACAAATATCAGTTAAAACTCTGTGAAAATATTTTTATTTAAAAGAGAGCAAGAATTCTATTGCTTCTATATTGATGTTAAATGCAAGAAGAATATATACCTCCCAAAAATTCCTTTTTCCCTATTAATAGCAGAGGAAGAGGTCAGACTGAAGTTTAATTACTCTTTAAGGAACGGCTGTCAAATCTGTGTCAGTTTCTTTGGAAAAACACAACTAATCAATGCCAATGTTTCCAAAATCTGGCAGATCTCACTTATGGCTGCAGATGTTCCTCTGCAGAGCAGAGAAATTCTGCAAATTGTTGCCTACTTTTTGGAGAGAAGTGTAGCATCGAATCATTCCGATGCTTATTTTCTTTTAATATGTTTTTTTAGATTCAGGATTGTAAAACTTGTTATTTCCTTCAGAAGGACTTCCAAAGTGGTGATCAGTGTAACAAGTCAGCCACCTGACTATGGTACTTCATATTCTTATAGAAATTTTGTTCTAACAAAATTTTATCATTTATGACCAGTGCTTTTTTTCTAAAAAAAAAAAAAAAAGGTGCCGGAACTCACACACATCTACCCTACAAGGTTCCATCCAAAAAAGGTGCCGGAACTACGTTCTGGGCGTTCTATGAGGAAACAAAGCTCTGTTTATGACACACAGTTTTTCAGTGTGAGCTCTGAAGAAGGAATCAGCAAGTAATCAACTATGTAATTAACTTGACCAAGGGCAGAACCAAAACAACAGATTTACACAGCCAAGATTCTCAAGGCCTTCCTTCACTAAAAGAAGGCATATCATTTGTTACCTAATGAATAATGGAAATTCTTTTTGGGTTGCTGGCCACATAGAGCTAAATCCAAAATTGTGTAAGTGGATTTCCTCTTGAGCAAAAGAAGCTTTCATCTTCCTCCTCTTCTTCCTCCATTGCTTATTCCATCATTTTTCATTACACTTATTCTGAAGATTGCCCCAGTATCCCAGAGGCAATATACAAGGAGCTAAGGATAGAATTCTGTTCAGCAGTAATGTTCATTTCATTAGCAAAAGACCAGCATTCAACACCTGTTAAGTACCACATGTTGCTAAGTGAAACAAGCAAGTTTTACAGAAAAGATTTAATGACTGGCTAGGATTTGGGATTAGGAGGACCCTTGTTCAGCCATGAAGCTCAGTAGATATTTCTAGACCAACTGCCATCTCATAGCCTAGTTACTTTGCAGAGTTTGTAGAAGAGATAAAAATTATACTTTGTATGTGTTTAACAAAAAGGGGATTATCACAGAGCATAAACCACACCGAAATATTATTTATTCCTGTCATAATAACTGTGCTAGATGAAAGACCCAACTTTTCCAGCAATCTTCACTTACATTGTTCAAGAATATGTACAATTCCCTTTTAAAGGCAACCAAATTGATTGCTTATTACTACAATCTGCAGCAGCAAATTTTATTGCTCAGTTTCACACAATGTAATTCAGTAATTCCTCTATTTCTTTTCTGAGTTTCCCACCATTTTGCAGGAAGAATGATGCTGTCCACTTTATCCATTCCACTTTCCTAATCCCATCCTTCTTTATTGTATTAATTGTAAAAAGCTCTAATTACTTTAATTTTTTTAGCCATTGCATCATTTTGAAATGAAGAGTTCAGAACGTTACTCACAGTCCAAAGCCAGTCCTCACCTGTACTCTGATCCCGTGGTAGACACAAAGCCAGAACAGCAGCAAGGCACACAAGAACAAAGACTGAAAGAGGTCATCTAGCATTCCAGGAAACCAGCTGTTGATTAGGAATGAAAGGGGGAAAAATGGGTCTGTAACAGAATGGGAGAGGGAGAGAGTCAGAAGACATCATTGTTATTACCCACAAGAATATTCTGCCTTTTCTATAGCACACAAGACCTAGATGTTGCTAAACCACATCCACTCAAGCCAGCCTAGCCAATATTGGTATATTGGCTATACAGGTAATACAAGGTACAATACAGGTATGTTGGAAAATATAGATCAACACATTTGAACTCTGTGCAATCACAATAATCTAAGAAAACAATGTGAAACATGTGTTAAGTATTTTCTATATGGTATTTCTAACATACTTTGTTATGGATTTTAAACATGTGCATTCTAAAGGCAATTTACTGAGAAAACATTTGCTAAACTTTGGGCTGGATTTGTAAAGAAACTGATTTTCTCTCCCATCCCAGCTTATTACAGTAGAATTCAACTGAAGATGGCCAGGAATTGGAATTGAGCAGGAATTTTCAAAATTTGGACAAAGGCACTACTAACAACTGAACGCACATATATTCACACACAAAGAAAACCCCTTCTATTCACCCTAATTGGTCTAGTGGGCACCAAGCATGGAAACAAATATTGGAGATTAAGACCACCAAAGAAGACCAATTTTGTGTAGTGGTTAAGACATCAGGCTAGAAATTGGGAGTGTGTGAGTTCTAGTCCTAACTTAGGTACAAAGCCAGCTAGGTGACCTTGGGCCAATTACTTTCTCTCAGACCTAAAAAGGAGGCAATGGCAAACCATTTTCAAAAAATCTTGCCAAGAAAACTGCAGGGCCTAGTCCACACAATCACCAGGAGTCAACCCTGACTCAAAGGCACAGACACAAATAAAAGACTAATAGAGGAATGTAAGGTAGTCAGATTGTCATCTCTGTTTCAAGGTATATGTAAGGCTACTTGCCTGATGCATCATTGCTATTGGTTCCTTTTGCAGAAATGATCATTCACCAAAGGCCATACTTGTGCCTGGAGAAAGACTGGAAACTTCCTAATAGCTACCTTGAATTCTAGAACTCCTTCTTAAGCAAGACATCAACCACCACTCAAACTGATACGTTATTTGTTACTTCTGCTCATTTGCAGAAAAACACTGTGCAGTGTACAATAATACCGAAAATGAAAAATAACAGGATAGCCACATTGATAACAACTACAACTCTGATGGGTCACGTTTTCTTGTTTTTCTAAGAAGCCATGTTTTCAAAAAAATTTCAAAACTGTAATGGGAAGGCACCTCAGAAATGGGGGGCTATCGCCAATTTGAGCATAGGCTCCCTGAACATTATATTTTAGAAGAAATGGGTTTTTGCCAAGCCCTCCATCTTTCAACACTTCTTTTTAATTAGAATAAGATGCTGGCCTATTTCACTAATCAGCTTTTTTGCTGTTGAGTGATAGCAGAGGTTAACTTGGTTCCACATATTAAAGCTTTTCAGCTACTTTAAACACTCTTAATTATTTTAGTATTAAACAGAGGGAACAACCATGCAAAAGATTTTTTTTATCAAATCTGAAAATGCCATCAGATTATGCTGATCGGCCAAGCCTAATGTTTCCAAGTGATTTTAGTTGGAATTTTAATTTTCAATCAATCTCTCACATGTGAAAGTAGGATAACCCTCCGAATCCCATCATATCAAAATATGATTTGAATAAATACCATTATAAAGTAATAGCAGGGGGAGGAGGATTGACATCCACTTCTGCTCTATCCCCCAATCTCGCATGGAGAACTTGCGCAGGGAGTGAGCAAAGAGACACTGCAAAGAAAGGAAGAAGAATTATAACAATTATGTGGTATCTGTTCAGCATAAGAGAAGGGGTGCAATTGGAGAGTATGCGCAGCATGAGTGACTTATACACCCAAAACAGAATTCTTGATTGCAGAGCAATGACTAACCATAAAATCTCATGGCTACATCTTGCTAAGGATAATGGGAGATAATGGGAGAGACCAATAATCAAGAGATCTAGCCAACATGGCCAGTAATAAGGGGTGTTTGTAATATTCAGTAGTGTCTGAACGTCACAAATGTAACCATAAAACAACCACTAAGCTGAAACTCAGCTCAAGTGTATGTGCTGCATCACCTATGAAGAAGACACACATGATGTAACAGATTTCTTCTATTACATTATTTTCTTCTCTTATTGCATGTATACTGTCTCATCTTCAACTCTGATCATTTTTCTTGCCTCCCTCACTCGATAAAGAAATATTTTCCCACAAGATTGTTTAACAAAAACCTTCCAGCATCAAGCAATTCTAATCTTTTGGATCAAGGAGAATAAATAGCAAAGCAAAGCAAAAGAACTAAACCAACAGCAGATGTACCTAAACAGATACTGATTTGTCGAAGACAGGCAAACATACCAAAATATCTTATCAAAAACTAAACAAAAAGCTGATACTCACTGTGACTATAAAAGTAAGAACCACAAAGACAAATCGGAACCAGATTTCCACCTGGGAGAAGGCTGGGTTATAAGTTTTCCACTGAAAAAAAAAAGATGTCAGAATATTAACCAAAACCTTTGTGAATAAAAATCCTTTGCACATTCAGTATTCTTTTCCCATTGAGTGCCCTTCAAATGCACATACATGTGTACCTTTATTATGGTAATTGATCAGAATACAAATAATAGCAGATGAAATAACATAAAAGAGTTGGTGATTAGTTTATTGATGTGATCAAAGTATACCTAATTTTACAAACAGTATAATAAAGTTTGACCATATTCATAGAAGTAGAATCTTTCCAGTCTGGTAATAGCTGCACCTAGAATAAAATTGGAATTGCCTGGTTATTTTATTAACTGGGAAGTGATAAAAATGGGTCCTTGCATCCTTATAAAAAGTACACCATATTGCAGGGGTCTCCAAACTGGGCAATTTTAAGACTTGTGGACTTCAGTTCCCAGAATTGTGCCCCTCTCCACAGGGACACAACCTAAGTTCATGTGGAATTTGTTTCTATCTTCCCTTAAGAACTGCCATAGGAAGTACATTAAAGCATGATAAGGTTAGTGCCCTCTGGAATTGAGGTCTGGTTATGTGGTGTAATTGTCTTACTGAACTGAAAAAACAGGTCTGACGGCTCAGGAAAATGTTCCTGGGTAGGACAGATTAATCCAGTTGGGCTTCCAGATCTCAAGGAAGTTGCTGAGTCACCATCTAGAAAGACAGTTAATTCTCCCTTCAGCAAGAGAGAATCAACTACGTATTTGGAGGACATCTGAATTGTGTGGACAGGATTAATTTCCCTTCACTTGTCTACTGTTCTTTAGATACAGTGGGTTACAAATCCCTGGCAAATGAATTTTCTCCTGAACAACAGCCAAAATCTGAAGTCCCATCAACATTTGGGAACTCACCGCCATTTGTTAACTCCTCCAATCCTATTTCAAACTAAACTTCAGAAATACAGCTCATAAAATTAAAGAATAGATAATAATACCGAATGGGCCCCAATAAGAATTAGATTCTTAGAGGCTCTTTCCGCTTTCTACCAAATTCTGAAATGTGCCTAGAGAATTATTTTTTTAAAAAAAAATAATCCCCTGAGTATACCGTAGTACCGTTGGACTTCTTTCCTTCCTATGATTTGCTTGCTGCTCTTTTACAGTCTATTTCACTGTCAGGCAAATATATCATTATTTAGACAAGGCTAATCTATCTGATTACCCAATTCTCTTTACTGCTCAAGGTATTTTAATTAACTGTTTTATTGCAACTGTCAGAATTTATCATATTTCAGAGGAGAAAAAGATACGAAAATAATTTTCTCAATTCCTCTTTGAAATCTCCAATTTCATTCCCCATGCTCTCCAGTAGTGTATCCAATTTACTTTTTTTGGGGTAATTACACTTAGCACAAGACTTTTTTTTTCAGATCAGCACTTTACAGTTTGTCTTTTTTATGTCAAGTTATATGTCTGTAAGTCATATCAGATTCAAAATCAAGTCAACTGTAATCATGTTTAGTATGTAATCTACTTCTATTCAGTTTTTTTAAAAAAGGAATTTCTTCCACTCCTTAAAAACAATGCCAGACAGATATTTGCAATTCTCTGCCTGGTAGCTTATTCAGAAAGATTTTATAATTACTGTCAACTGCTTCAGGATTTTCTGTAGAAAATCAACACAAAGAGACTTCCGTGTAAAACTGAACTTATATTTTCTGCTTACTTTTACCATTTATACTTACTGTGAAGCTGTAACTCTTGAGGTGGTAGTTCTCAAGAGACTTGTCAAAGGTAACAACAATGTTGTAACGAGTGAAATTCAAATAACCAAGATGAACCACGATAATTTCATCACAATCCTGTGAATTGGGACATGAAAACTGGGTTAGTAGATTCATAATAGCCTTAACTTCATTTTGATTTGGAAATGTGTGAATGGTTCTAAAACACAGGCGGTTTAGGTACAGCCTCTTATTTTTTAAACTAGCTGTACCCGGCCACGCGTTGCTGTGGCTCAGTCTGGTTAAATGGAAAAGAAAGAAAAGAGAAAGCGCACGTTTGTAATATGTAGCGTGTGTTGCTTTTACGTCCAACAGATGGCGCGGTTTTCAAAAAAAAAGCATGTTTTTATCTGTCACAGGTGTGACATCTATATAATAGTAGGCATATAAAAACACGTGCGTATTCGAATGCAACGTTGTGTCAAAATTTCAAAGCAATCGGTGAAGAACTTTCGGAGATTTAAGATTTTGAACAAACGAACATTTACATTTTTATTTATATATAGAAGATAGAAGATTGTTACTGACAAAGAACTCATCTGAATAAAATTGCTAATAATAATTTTTTAGAATTTCTACCAAACATATTGCCATCACTCCTCCTAGAAAGGCAGCTTGTTGAATCTGGGATTGCCCATATACATGGATAATTAATTTATGAGTTTCTCTAACAGGTAAACGATTTTACATCTACTTTAGCATTTTTAAATATATATATATATAAGAAATTTTCTTGTGCTTACCTTAGCACAGTTGAATATCCTTGTCCGGTTGTGAGTTTCTTTATTATAGTACCGTACACTTCCATTCTTTAGTACACCACGTATTGTAACTGACATAATAAATCTAATTTTCAAGCTATCGAATTTGTTATCTGAAACATTAAATCAAACACCTGTGACTGAACTTATTTTGAATCACGGACAACCTCTCCCTTTCAGTTGCATGGGGAGATGTTCTAAAACAGGGGTAGTCAACCTTGGCTCTTTTATGACTCGTGGACTTCAATTCCCTGAATTCCTGAGCCAGCTTAGCCTGACGATGTTGGTAGGATCCAACGAAAGCTAGGTCCTTTTTAAATTCTTTTAAAGGTTTTTAATGTTTTATTAAAACTTTTAATTGTTTTGCAATCTCCTGGTGTTCACATTTTATTTCTCACCATGGATATACCCAGGAGTCACTCGTCTGTCTTTAGTGATATTTTTAATCATATATATATGATTTCAATAAGAACATTTTTTCTGATATATGTTCCACAGCTACAAAAAGTCTTGGTACATACATTGCCTAGTTATATCTTGACATCAGTAATGGTTAATGTGCTGCAATCCATTTCTTGTTTACTAACACCCCATTTTTATTGGCTTCTTGATATATACAGTGGGGGAAGCAGGATTATCAAGCACCTAAGACACTGTGATACAAAACCAGTGTATCAGATATGACTGTTTTCTCCATGCTAAACCAAAATGGGACACAACACTCTACACCAGGCATGCACAATCCGCGGCTCATGGGCCACATGCAGCCCTGGACAACTAATAATGCAGCCCTACAAAATTGTAAACTTTTAAATTGTTATGTGATTTATGTACATTAAGTGTATTATATATTTTATATGTCCCAAGACAATTCCTCTTCATTCAATGCAGCCCCAGCAAGCCAAAAGGTTGGACACCCATGCTATATAGCAGGGGCCTGCAGCCTTGACAACTTTAAGATTTGTGGACTTCAGCTCCCAGAACTCCTCAGCCAGCTGGGAATTCTGGGAGCTGAAGTCCACAAGTCTTAAAGTTGTCAAAGTTGCAGACCCCTGCTATATACCATTCATAGGTATATATGTAATTAAGATAATGCAGCAAAACAGCAATATACAACTAAACTAAAAAAAAATATCCTTACCAGAAGGTTGCTCCAAGTGCACTGTACAGGTAAGCCAGAGTTGTTGATTATAAGTAGATACTGGTGGCGAACTTAAAGGAAATGACTTTGTCTACAACAAAATGGAAGCCAAAGCTGCAATCATGTGAAATCTTCCCATTAAAAAAAATCACTGTAGTGGAAGCATAAGCTAGTTCGCTTTTTAGCCGTATCTGTTAAGTACTAATAGTACAAATGTTACCCGATCCAAGTTCATGGAAATGTTTTCAGAAATATAGGAGCATGTATTAAAAATACACCTCTGACAATTAATAGCATTATCCAAATGTAATTCATTCAAAGAAAATATGTCATTCGTGCACTTCCTGGAGCAGAGTGGCTGGGTGGTTAAGATGCTGAGTTGGAGGTTAGCACGCCCGTGTTCAAGACCCGAGTGGGGTCGTGGTACAGGGTTGAGCTCCCATCCTTCGCTCCAGCTCCTGCCAGGGACATGAAAGGAGCCCCCCATACTGGGCATCTCCCAGACCAGGGGTAGGCAACCTTGGCTCTTTTATGACTCATGGACTTCAACTCCCAGAATTCCTGAGCCAGCATGGCTGGCTCAGGAATTCTGGGAGTTGAAGTCCACGAGTCATAAAAGAGCCAAGGTTGCCTACCCCTGTCCCAGACAATGGTGGTGTCACCGGCTAATCCTTTCAACCTGGAAGCCCCTTGGTGCTTCTGACACAAGTGCTATGCTATGCGATTCATAACCCTGTCAGTTTGGAAAAGGTTTCTTTTTTCTTTTTTAATAGTTTTATTCATTTATAACATCAAATGTGAAAATACAAAAGCAAATAGTAGGGGACAACAGTAGCAAAAGGGAAAACAAAAAAGGTGTGGAGAAAAGGGGGCGGGAAACAAAAAGCATTGACTTCCGACTCTCTCTCTCTGTTGCAGTAAAATCAGACATTAAAATCAAATCTCAACTTTTCACATTTCTATGTAATGAAAGGGTTTCGTTGTTTTGTCCTTAGCCATAAAACATATTCTGATCCCTAAGAAATCTTAAAAATCTGCATTTCATTAAGAGAAAGGGACTAACAGTTTTACAGATGATCTTTAGCTTACAACCACAATGGAGACCAGCAAGGCGGTTGAGTCAGATCTAATATTACAGCCTCTTTTGCCATGGTTGTTAAGCGAATCAGCGCAGTTGTTGCGTGAGCCATGCAGTCATTAAGTGAATCCAGCTTCCCCCATTGACTTCGATTGTCAGAAGCCAGCTGGAAAGGTCTCCGATGGCAATCACGTGATCCCGGGACACTCCAAGTGTCATAAATATCAGCCGGTTGCCAAGCAAACCGAATTTAGATCACATGACCATGGGGATGCTGTGATCATCGTAAGTGCAAGGAATGGTTGTCACTTTTTTCAGTGCTGTTATAACTTTGAATGGTCACTAAATGAATGGTTGTAAGTGGAGGACTGTATTCGGTATGGAGGCAGAAGGAACAAGGTAACTTCTATTACCTTGAATTAAAACCTGGGCATCAGTAGGAAGAGCTTTGACCTTTGCTACTGAACCACTGAACGGTTGTGCAAGCCGTAGACTCAAGACAAACCCGAGACCATGGTTAATATTATTCTGAATATAAGAAATTGTTGGAATGATACCTTTTTATCCAAAGTATTTGTAGAATGGTTAAAAATTGTCTATCAAGTCAGAATACATCAAATCCAAAACCAAGGACAACAAGACTTACCTTTGAACCATTAGTCATCGGAGGTATTTCTGATATGCATTCAATGACTTTGGGACCTGAACGATACATAAAGGCACAGAATTTAATCTACGAATGGCTGTGGAACTCTGGGAGTTGAAGTCCATACAACTTAAGGCTGTTGACGTGGAGAAACATTGTTGTAAAGCTATCAAATGTTTTGTTTTGTTTTGTTTTTAAAAAAAATCCAAATGCTTTTAAGACAAACACCTCATTCGGATAACATCGTGGAATATATTGTGTTAAAATTGCAGGTCAGTTGAATCCACTTCCCATGAAAGCAAAATAAAAATAAAAAATGATTTTCTAGCTCCTGAAAAACCTGTCTGCCTCACCAAAGGAGAGAATTTTGCACCTCCCTGTAAAAGCAAACAGTGTGTATCAGTCACTTAGACTCAAGTCAGCAAATACATCTGCCCCAGCTATTGTGCAAAGGTAAAGCACCTACATCAGCATCCACTTCCCCAGGATAACAAAGGTCAGGTTCATCCTTCCAACGTGACATCAAATATCATCTATGTGGCCCTGGAGGGCAACTATCCTGAAGGAGTTTCGCCAACAAACTGCAGAGGAACCCTGCATGCTTTACTTGTGTTTAGAAATTGGATGTGAGCAGGCTATATTTAAATACTTTTTTATTCAGATACTATTTTCTTATTCAATGTCACAAACAACGTTTACAGCAGGGGTCCCCAACCCCTGATCTGTGGACTGGTACCGGGCCGCGGCATACCAGCAACTGGTCCGCACAAACAATCAAAGCCCCATCCGTGGGATGCAGGCAGCAGACAAAACCACTCACTCTCTGGTCCGTGGAAAAACCTCTCTCCACGTAACTGGTCCCTGGTGCCCAAAAGGTTGTGAACCTCTGATTTACAGTATACAATATACCACCATGACTGGACCAGAATTTCCATTGCTAAGCAAGGCGGTTGTTAAATGAGCCCTGCCCAATTTTACAACAGTTTTTGGGCATGGTTAGTAAGTGAACCGCCCTAAATACATGTAAAGCCTGTCAGGTTCATCCTCAGTTTGCTGCTGAAATTCTTTCTGTTAAGTGAATCATGTGGTCATTAAGTGAGTCTGGCTTCCCCCATTGATTTGGCTTGTTGGAAGCCAGGTGGGAAGGTTACAAATGAAGATCACATGATCCTGGGACGCTGCAACTTTTGTAAATACATGTTCGTTGCCAAGTGCCCAAATTTTGATCATGTGATCGTGGGAATGCTTTGACAGTTTTAAGTGTGAGGACAGGGTTGTGAGTCCCTTTTTTCCAGTGCTGTTGTTAACTTCAAACGGTTGCTAAACAAATGGTTATAACTTGAGGACTATCTGTTTTCAATTAACTACACAAGGGGCATTTGAAACTCCCCACTAAAAAAAAAAAAGCAAACCACAACTTGTGGTGATGAGACTGTTCTACACTAGGTTTCTACTTCATTAGAGGCATACAAGTACAACTGAAACCCGAATTTCTGTTGTTAAGCAAGACAGTTGTTAAGCGAGTCACACCTGAGTCTATGAACTATCTATAATAATAATAATAATAAAGTTGGAAGGGACCTTGCTCAGGCAGGAAACTCTATACCATTTCAGACAAATGGCTGTCCACTCTCTTCTTAAAAACTTCCAGTGTTGGAGCATTCACAACTTCTGGAGGCAGGTTGTTCCACTGATTAATTGTTCTAAATTTCTCCTTAGTTCTAGGTTGCTTCTCTCCATCCATTGCTTCTTGTCCTGCCTTCAGGTGCTTTGAAGAATAGCTTGACTCCCTCTTCTATGTGGCAACCCCTGAGATATTGGAACACTGCTATCATGTTCCCCCTCGTCCTTCTCTTCATTAAACTAGACATACCCAATTCCAGCAGCCTTTCCTTGTATGTTTTAGCCTCCAGTCCCCTAATCATCTTTGTTGCTCTTCTCTGTACTCTTTCTAGAGTCTCAACATATTTTTTACATCGTGGTGCCCAAAACTGGATGCAGTATCTGGCACAGTTAATTGAACCATTGCAGTTATGAAGTGAATCATGTTGTCATTAAGCAACTCCAGCTTCCCCTGTTGACTTTGCTTTCGGAAGACAGCTGAGAGGGTCACAAATGGCAGGACACCAGATGCTGCAACTGTTTAAATACATGCTAGTTGCAAGCGCCTGATTTTGGTCATGTGTCCGTGGGGATACTGCAACTGTCATAAGAATGACTTTTTTCAGTACCGTTGTAACTTTAAATGCTCACTAAATGAATGATTGTACGGAGTGCAAATTCAAGATGGGGGAGCACATGTGCACTCTTTGTTCTTAAAGGTCACCAACTATCACTCCTCTTAAAACATTAGTATCTTTCAGTACAGGTAGTCCTCAACTTACAACCATTCATATAGTGATTGGTCAAAGTTACAATGGCACTGAAAAAAGTGACTTATGACTGGTTTTCACTTATGAGCATTGTAGCATCCCCCACGGTCACGTGATCAGGATTTGGACGCTTGACAATTGGCTCATATTTATGATGGTTGAGTGTCCGGGAGTCATGTGATCCCCTTTTGTGACTGTCAAGGTAATGATTTAGAAGCTAACCAGCTGATGTAATGTATGATGTAATGTTGGAAATGACTCAGCAGGGTCTATGTCTCTTTAAGAGCAAGCAGGGTCTGTATCTCTTTAAGAGCTTTGTATAAAAGGGAAGGCTCTGCAGATGTGTTCTCTCTCTTCTGTATTCCTGCTGTAACTGTGGTGTGTTGGATCCTGCTGTATTAACACTTGTATGTATATTGTTCCTGGTGTGTGATATTGTAGATAGTGTAAGATAAACCACCATTTAATATAGACCACTATTTACTGTGTTTACTCCTGGGTTACCTCAGTGCAATAAGACTGTGCATGCTCTGACAGTGACCCTCTGACAAGCAAAGTTAATGGGAAAGCCAGATTCTCTTAACAACCGTGTCACTAACCTAAGAACTGCAGTGATTCAAATTAACAACCGTGGCAAGAAAAGTTGTAAAATGGGGAAAAACTCACTTGACAAGCGTCTTGCTTAGCAATGGAAATTTTGGGCTCAGTTGTGGTCATTAAGTCATGGATGATCTGTAATGCCTAAAATTCATTTATCATTTTTATATCAAGATACAAACAAGGAATACCTTCAGTGGTTTCACTGTTATAGTAACGTAATCACAAATGCAGCCCAGGAACAGAAGAAGAAGCAAGTAAAAAAATCTGGAAGAAAAGGTGAAAATCTTACCTGCAATGCCTATTAAGACCGTCAAGCCAAAACAAATGAAGAATACTACAAAGACCAAAACAAAGTGGCGTTTGGACAGAGTATATAATCGCATTGGAGCCAGTCTGTAAACAAGGAGAGAAAAATTAAGTTACAGGTAAACTTTATGTTATCGGAGGTGGGGGTGTTTTTTTCTTCCGGACAAACAATTCCAAAATGAAAAGATAAGAATTTCTATCTAATATATGTGGTCATGAATTCATATTTTTAAAGATTTTTTTAGACATCACTTTGGAAGGGTTTGTATTAAACAGTAGCATATTCTTATCAAATATATATGTCAACCTTCTCGGAAGTGTATGCATAACTTATTCCTGATTTACATAAAGCAGGCTATGTCTTAATGGTAAGGGCTACATTTGATCCAATTTGTGACCTTATCATTGTCCCTGGGCATAATCAGAAAATGATACTCAGATGTTCTTGAAGGAATCAGAAAGCAACATAAAACTGTAGAAACACACACACTTCTGTTTCTGTATTTCCTTTATAATGTGCTGATGTTTACTTGAAGAGAAATTTAGAAGACACCCTCCACCCAAGAAATTTTGAATGATCCTAGATCTCTTCACTTACTATGCCTTCAGATGCCTCAGTAAAAGGCAAAAAAGATTCAGCCTTCATTATAATGGCTAGTTCTTGCATGATAATATAATGTAGCCAACATTTAGAACACATTTATATCTAACCTTGCCTATCCCCAACATTAATATGGCTTTGGGACAAGCAGTGACAATGTTTCATTCTGCATTCCAATACAAAAAAGGAAATCAACATTATGTGTCAATCCACAAACACTTTTTAAAAGCATCAACAATTTTAATAAAGACATAAACACAGCTGCTCACAGTGTTTCCTCCTAGACAGACAGGAAGAGGAGAAATCTTTCCTGGGGCCTCGTTTCTAAACTTATAATTGACACACCTCATAACTCCCAGTGAAATTACATCTCTTGACTTGGCAGCTCTTATTCCAATTATAAATGCAACAGGTTACAGACAGTTTTACATAGGAGAGCTATTACTTTCTGATTATCTTATCACATAAGTTCGGTCTTATCGTTTAAATCAGTGTTTCTCAACCTTGACAATTTTAAGGCATGTGGACTTCAACTCCCAGAATTCCACAGCCAGCAATGCTGGCTGTGGAATTCTGGGAGTTGAAGTCCACATGCCTTAAAATTGTCAAGGTTGAGAAACACTGGTTTAAATGCTATATGGAAGTCGGAAACAAGCCTGCTTTCCATCAGCTAAATCAACTTTTTTTTCAACCTGGTGCTCTCCAAAGGCGTACTATACAGATAAGCCTCAGCCGCTTTACGATGCGTGAACTTCAACTCCCAGAACTCCCCAACCAGCATGATGGATTCTGGGAATTGAAGTCCACACATCTTAAAAGTTGCCGAAGTTGCGAAACACTGCCGCAGCATCGATTATTGGAGCCCATCAATCCGGACAGTATCACAAGGAGGGAAGATTGGACCGGAGCTACCAAACTGCTCTTTCCAACCCTTGGTCTGAGCCGAATTTCCTCCTCAACCTCGGAACCGGCCACGAACTCCGGGCGGTACGTTCCAACGTAACCGGATCACATCTGGCTTCTGGGAAAGGCTTTACAAAATCTGGCCTGAGTTACGCACAGTAGGATGGGGAACAAAATTGCTAAGCGAGGGCCGTGCAGTGTTGCGTGCCCATCTGCCACCGCCCCTCCTTCCCCCCTCGACTATATCCCCTGGGCGGTCAAGGCATCGCGCTTCCCAGGGAAGCCCCCCGCTCCGTTTCCAAGCGCAGCCCCCTCTCCAACTCACCGCTCCATGTCCAGGCTGCGCACGCGCACCACGGCTCCTTCACCTTGCCAGCATCTCGCCTCCAGACGAGGAGCCGCTCCACTGCCACCTGGCCCGGTGGCGGCACCGCCCGCGAGCCGCTCAAAGCACTTCCGCGTGCGTCACCCGGCCGTCCCAGCCCTGCCCCCTGGCGAAGGGGACAGGGCCAAGAGAGCCCCGCCCAGCCGCTCTTTGGAGGAAGGGAGGGGGAGCAGCTGCGCGCTGCCAGGAAAGATTGCCGTCGCTGTCTCAGCCGGGCAATTTGAAAACCTCTAAGGAGGGACCGGGGGGGGGGGGGCGGAAAGAATTGCTGAACCCCCAAACAAGCTCAGGAATCCCCGTTTCCGAGGCTCCTCCTGCTTCTTTGCCTTCAAAATGATAAAATCCCCCTCAAGTTGGTGCAAAATTCTGGCGGCTGGTGTTCCTTGAAAATCACACAAGGTTTCACACAACACACTAAATTCCAAAACAAATATTCCAGAATAACAGCATAACAGAGTTGTAATAGTAGTAACTGTGAGAGGGACCTCGGAGTCCTAGTGGACAATCACTTAAATATGAGCCAGCAGTGTGCTGCAGCTGCCAAAAAAGGCCAACACAGTGCTAGGCTGCATTAACAGAGGGATAGAATCAAGATCATGTGAAGTATTAATACCACTTTACAATGTCTTGTAAAGTGTAAGGCCACACTTGGAATACTGCATCCAGTTTTGGTCACCACTATGTAAAAAAGATATTGAGACTCTAGAAAGAGTACAGAGAAGAGCAACAAAGATGATCAGGGGACTGGAGGCTAAAGCATATAAGGAATGGCTGCTGGAATTGGGTATGTCTAGTTTAACGAAGAGAAGAACGAGGGGTGACATGATAGCAGTGTTCAGGGGCTGCCACAAAGAAGAGGGAGTCAAGGCGCCTGAAGGCAGGACAAGAAGCAATGGGTGGAAACTAAGCAAGGAGAGAAGCAACCTAGGACTAAGGAGAAACTTCCTGACAGTTAGAACAATTAACCAGTGGAACAACCTGCCTCCAGAAGCGGTGAATGCTCCAACACTGGAAATTTTTAAGAAGAGACTGGACAGCCATTTGTCCGAGATGGTATAGGGTTTCCTGCCTGAGTAGGGGGTTGGACTAGATGACCTCCAAGGTCCCTCCCAACTTTATTATTATTATTATTATTATTATTATTATTATTATTATTATTATTATTATTATTATTATTATTATTATTATTATTATTATTATTATTATTATTATTATGGGACCTTGGAGGTCTTCCAGTCCAATCCCCCTCTTGCTCAAGCAAAAGACCCTACACTATTCTGGACAAATGGTTGTCCAGTCTCTTCTTAAAAAACCTCCAGTGAGGAAGACCCCACAACTTCTGGAGGCAAGTCACCCGTTTCACTGGTTAATTGTTCTCACTGTCAGGAAATTTCTCCTTACTTCCAGATTGTTTCTCTCCACATTATCGCCAGGCTCAAACATAATTGATTGACTAATTTCATTGATTATATGCTATTAAGAGGGTGATAGCTCTTAACAAACAGATAGATTTTGTCCATGACACTCTGTACCCAACCCAGTCCTTCAAGCACTTCAAGCACCCATTGCTCCTGAGTCCATCCAACTTGATACAGGTCATCCTTTTTTGCCCCTTCCATCTCCCTCATCATTACAATCTACTTCTCAAGAGAGTCCAAAGTGTGATAAGCTGAGTGTGGCCATTTGTGCCTCTTTGAATTGATTTGTCCTGGGACCCACTTGCCTGTTTTGACTATTTGTGATATTCTCGGGGTTTTCCAACACCAAAACTCCAAAGCACTGATGCTTCTTCAAATTCCAACTTTTGCTTCACAGGAGAAGCAATTCCCTACATGAGTCTCATCTTTGTAGAGAAAGATACATCCCAGCATTCACTGATGTTGTCTCTAATGTGTTACTGTTTGATTACTTCTATGGTTATTTTGTTTTTATTTCTTTTTGTTAATCTGTGACTGAAATAAAGATGATACTTATCTGAATATCTTTTCCAAGGCCTTCTTGGCTACTCTATCTAAGTACTTATCTGCAGCATAATCATAAAAAGCAGAAGTTAAGGATCATGTCAGCATCTTCACTGTCAATTCTAGGACTGTTTTTTTTTTTAATTTTGTCATTAATTTGGCCTTTAATTTTCAAGTGTGCACCTTGATTTTTATCAAAAGAGGTTCATTTACATTTTTTCAGCTATCAGAGCAGTATCACCACCATAGTACATGTTACTTAAGTTTCCTCTTCTAAATTTAAAATTGTGCTTCTCCAGTTTTGATTATATGCCATCGCGTCATTGTCAACTCCTTAAAACAATAGATTTTTTTCATATCTTCCACCATGCATTCATCACTTTGCCACTGATTGTCCTCTTCTCTTTCTTCCACCTTTTCAACATTACAGCCTTCTCCAGAGAACTAGATCTCAATATTATTCAACATTTTATTTATAACATGTAGTTCCTTAATTTGGAATAAAGTAGGGGCAACTGGATGGAGCTGAACATTTTCTGGCTGGATGCCCTTCCTGACACCTTTATACAGCATATAATGTTGAATAAATAAGGGGATGCATACAGCCTTGTTTTAATTCTTTGCCACCTGGAGCCCATCTCTATTGCCATGTTCTGTACATGGCATGGTTTCTGTCCTGTCTGAGGTTTTGAAATTAAATATTTTGGGATTCTTATTTTCCTAAGGACTTTCCACAACTTCATATGGTCAACACAATCAAAAACCTTTCTGTAATCAAGAAGGTCAACATTAATAGCAATACCAATAGCATTTAGGCTGATACACTGCCCCACAGTGTTTTACAGCACTTTCTGGGTGGTTTACCATGTAAGCATTATTTGCATATTTTCCCCAACAATCTGTCCTTTTTCAATCTCTTATCACTGCTGCTTTATATGGATATGGCTTAGAGTGAAGCATGTACTACTTGTTGGGTTTTGTAAACTATGATTTCTGTTTATCACAGTGTGTGAAACATGTCAGTGGAGGTTATTTAATAAACCATAATTCAGCCAAGGTTTAGTGCATTGCAAACTTGTCCCATGTCTCTAATGTGTGAAAACCTCCCACATTTTCCCTCCTGGTGATTTAATGATAATGTAAATCAACTCTAAAGGAAGGCTAAACCTAATGTTATTGAGACAGCTATAGAAACAGAGCCTTGTGATCCTGATTGTGTTGTATCTCCTCTCCTTCTTGTACGTCAATGAATTTTGATAATATTCAGGAGCCTGAACTGCTTCTGAATACCATCTTAAAATATGTTTCAGGCTCTTTTGCCTAGGACACGGTTCTTGCATATATCCCTCAAAGTCAGCTTCCTTAATCTCTGCAATAGCTGCTTAAAATAATTGATTTTGAGGAAGTCGAAAGAAAGTAGGTAGATTCTTTAGGGACTGGGATATCTTATCAGGCTTCTAATCTCAAAAGGTAAGTTGGCCAGTACTGCATACTGTTGCATACTTAGCTGAGGGGAGGCTGAGGTACCATTTCCTTTTTTCATCTCAGGCAAAGTATCTTGGGTGCATCTAATGTGTTTCCCCGAAAATAAGACTTGGTCTTATTTTTTATTATTATTATTTTTCCTCCAAAAGAGGCATCAGGTCTAATTTCAGGGGGTGTCTTTTCCACGGTCTCACCTCACCGCGGTGGCACCAACAGCCCCACCCAGCTGGCCCACTTCTTCTATGGCCGAAGGAAATGCCTCTGCAGCTGAGAATGGAGCTCTGGATTGATGCTTGTGGCGCCCCCCCCCCAGCCTGCATTTCGCCATCAGAGGCCTTCTGGAAAGGCCTCTGCAGCCAAGAAGCGAGCTACGGATTGAATCTGTAGCTCGGTTCTCGGCTGCAGAAGTCTTTCCGGAAGGCCTCTGACAGCAAAATGCAGGCCGGGATGCGCCACAGAAGAAGTGGGCTAGTGAGGTGAGGCAGGTGTTGATTCATGGGAGGCCTGGCTGCAACGGTAAATGGGTGTGGGGTGCATGGGGCAGCTCCACTCTCCCACCCCCACCCTAGCTTGATTTTTAGGTGTGCGCCTTGCCCCAAAACTAGGGCTTATTTTGGGGATAGGGCTTATATTAGCCCACCCCCAAAAATCAAGCTAAAGCTTATTTTGGGGGTAGGTCTTACTTTCAGGAAAACATGGTACGTCCTTCTAAAAACATGACTATATTTTGGCCAGCATTACTACTCACAAGTTCTGGTAAACATATACAACAGCCAATGCAGATGTTCACTGTATTACCATTCTCAAGACTGAGCATTGTGGGGGTTTTTTCTTTCTTAAAAATATTATAGCATGATTGTTTTGTTTTGTTTTTTTTAAAAAAAGGATCAGGGGCTCACTGAGTGGGGAAATCAGGACCGAGCGATTAATCCATGTCACAGTTAAATCTAGGAAGCAATTAAATTGTATTATAAGTTAATATAATAAGCTAAATTTTATTTTAAGGTCTTAGGTTTAGACATAAAAATAACTATTGGTTCACTTTTAGTTCCCACCAAGATGATTGTTAATGAATTTGGTTATTTGAGATTTTTGCCAATGGAAGTGGAACTTTGTCTCCAAATCAAATATTCCTCCCCTGAATGCCCAGTGAGAGACCAAAGAGAAAGAGAGAACTTTATCTCCATCATGACTTTTGGAAACTTTTGGATAAGGCTGTCTTCTTCAAGAGATACATTCTTAACTGTGATCCTATATATATTAATTGAAATTGCTTACTGGGATACACTACATGGTAGGCAGGTTGAGCAATTCTGGTTTTCCCGTATCATTTTCTGTCACATAATTTCTATGCACTTATTGCGAAGTTAAACCCCAGCTTCGAGGATATGCATCCCTTCAGAATAGGCAAGCACAGACAGAACCCTAATCTGGGGTTATCATCCAAACATTTAGACAAAGAACAGATTTTTTTCCCCAATCACCATCAGGATTTAAGAAATGTAAGGAAGCCTTCCCTTCCCTGACAAAGGGAATCTTTTAAATCTTCAGTCAAGACCACATTCCCAAGAAAACAGATTAACTCAGCTGGGAGAAATCAGAGCTCTTTCACGACAGCCATTTTGTAACGAAAGGGAATTGTTCTCATGATACTATATAAGCCAAAGCTGCTTTTCTAAGGTTTACATGAGAACCTTGTTGCAGGCGCCATCTTCCACTCCCCCACCCACCCTGAGCAAGGAAGGAAGGCTGCCCAGAATGTGAAAAGCTCTCTGAGCATATGATCTTGCCTAAATCATCCACTGATGCTCGGGAAGCTCGCTAGTCAGTCCCCCTGGCCCACAGGCCCAACTGCTCATGCACACAGTCCCTCTTAGGAGACATTAAAAAGCTCCTGCTCTCAGCGTGGCCTTTACCAAACTGGTGTTCCCCCAAATAGGGTTGAGATGAGCAGGATGCGGAGAGTTAGTGATCCATCCCATCTGACACCCCAAATTGAAGGAAGCCTCTTTTGCTTCCCTTCCGCCAGCCTGCGGGAAGATGCGGGGATGCAGCTAGCTCAGGACCGTTCCCTCGCCCCTCTCCTCTTACCTGTAGTAACGATCATCCTTGTAAGGGGTGAGATCCTCTTTGATCTCCTTATAGGTCTCTTTGATCCTTTGGTAAATGTGCTTGAACTCGCCGCAGAGCGGGTTTTCGAAAGCGGGGTAATCGGCCTCCATGCCGCACCCCGATATTAGAAAGCTCTCCCGCTCCAGCCCCTTGACGTCCGTCCCTTCCTTCGCTCAGCCATGAAGCCCTTTTAGCCCTGTGGCCCCCAAAGCTCTCCGGGCTGCCGAATGGGCCATCGAAGGCCGCGGAGACGATCCGGGAAACTAGTCGCTGGAATAAATCCGCCTCCCTCTGTGCTTCTCCGTCTGCCTCGGTCGCTCTTTCTCACCGAGCAGAGCGCCGCCACTGGCGCGGAAAGGAATTTCGTGGAAAGCTGACGCTCGATCTTTGGGAGCTCGACCTTTGGGAGCTCGAATTTGGCGCTGGGGGAGAGGGGCTTTTGGAAGGCTGACAAAAGGCCGCGAAAACTGAACCCAGGAAATTATGCTAACCTTTCTCCCTTCCTTTCCAGCCTTGGGATTCCCGAACTTGGCAGAATGGGGGAGGGGGGAGGGATCAGCACCAAGGATAGCGCCGAGGAATCCTTTTCCTCAACGCGGACGCAACTGGGCTTCAGAGTCAAGAGGAGGACGTCCTTGTTTGCCCCTCCCCCTCCCTTGAAACACAGCCACACGAGAATTAATCTCCCATTTCAGCCTTTTCAGTCAATTGTTGTTAGTTTCATGTTTGTCCTTCAGTCTTCGTTTGTTTTACCCAAAGAAGTGCAGTTTCTGCCATTACAGGGATAGCGCCTTCCTGCCGTTTTCCAGAATTTAGCTGTAAAGACTGCAGCTCGGTTGCTGACTAGGATTGACAGGTTAATTAGCTATGTAACATTAAGCTGGGCTCAACGCTTGGTGATTACCTGAGCTAAAGGTCTCCCTCTCCACCTCTCTCCAAGGCAGGGGTCCTCAACCTTGGCAACTTTAAGACTTGTGGACTTCAACTTCCAGAATTCTTCAGCCAGCTTTGCTGACTGAGGAATTCTGGGAGTTGAAGTCCACAAGTCTTAAAGTTGCCAAGGTTGAGGACCCCTGCTCCAAGGGGATAATTCCAAGGGGAGTGCTGTAATCTTGTTAGTAATCATCCACCTCTTCCTCATTATCTTCCATTCTATTTCCTTTAACTGACCAGACATAATTGTTTGTTTTAAAAAAAGATGCTCTCATATCTCGTGTCCAAAACTTTTGTCAACTGATCATTGCTTCAAGGAACTGTGTGTGTATGCACCTTTAAGTCAGTCTGCAGTTTTCTTAGCAAGATTTCTGAACTGGTTTGCCTTCAGTTTAAGTTATCTTGTTTTTCCATTGTCCACCTTGAATTAGCTCATCTTTATACCTCTGTGGCTCTATTCTTCTTTATAAGATCTTAAGCTAAACTTGTATTGCATAAGGAATTAATGTCATGGCTCAATTATTTTCACGTTCATTTACATTACTTACACTAATATTTTACAATCTGCATTCCATAGAGCAAGGGTGTCAAACTCGCAACATCACGTGATGTGTCGCGCTGTATCACAACTTTTTTTCCATTGCCGGCAATGGGTTGGGCACGGTTTTGGCATGACGCATCCGGCCCGCGGGCTGACAGTTTGACACCCCTGCCATAGAGAATGTGTGCATTTTACAAGAAGCTATTTGCTCTTCAGCTACTATCCCTTGCATTTCTAAACAGTTCAAAGGGTGTTTTATCTATAAATGCCATATTTGACAAAGGGCCAGCTGTCTGTTGAACCTTAGTATCTATTGGGGACAGTTCCTGAATATGATTCTGTTGCTCTAGAAACCCATTTGTAAAGGGATCCCATACAGTATAATTTAAATAATTTATTTTCTTAAAATAATTCTTGGTTCTCATCTTTTGATGTCGTATTTATTGACATTTTAAAATATCTTTTCTTGCCATTTGTTGTTTGGCATGGGAAGGGAATGTTTTATAATTATATCTTCTTCTTGTGGGATCTTTCCATAACTTCCTGAATTCCTTTTGCATGTATACTGAATGTGCAATGTAGAGCTTATTTTTTGAGTGGGTGCATTACACATCAAGTCTTGCTGGCGCATCTATTCTTTATTGATCTGAATTTCATTCCTATATTTGGCAGCTGTAATTCAGTCTGTTCCGCAATCTGCATCTTGCAGTGTTATATATGAACGGACTGCACTTCTCCATCTTTCATTTCCTATCACAAGTAGTCCTTGACTTATGACTGCCATAGAGCCCCAAATTTCCATTGCTAAACAAGACAATTGTTAAGTGAGTTTTGTCCCATTTTATGACTTTTCTTGCCAGTTGTTCAGTGAATCACTGCAGTTGTTAAGTGCGTAACATGGTTGTTAAGTGAATCTGGCTTCCCCGTTGGCTTTGCTTGTCAGAAGGTTGCAGAAAGTGATCACATGACCTTGAGACACTGCAACCATCATAAATACATGCCAGTTGCCAAACGTCCAAAATCTGATCATATGACCATGGGGATGCTGCAACAATTGTAAGTGTGAAAAAAGGTCCCCCAACAACAAAAGGCCACGGTTTTTTTCGTATGCTGTTGTAATTTCAAATGGTCACCGAACAAATGATTAGTGTAAGGCGAGGACTATTTGTACACAATTGATTTTATCCCACTGTTATGAATCTGGCCATGTCCACAGGTATAATTCATTTGTTTTAATGTCATTGAAGGCTGTGCAAATAGAGCAGATTTTTATGCATATTGCCAGGCTCCTTAATTTCTAATGCAAAATGTCCAATCATTTTATTATAAGCGTTCCTAATTGTATTGGTTATACTCCTATTAAATTTTGCACTGTAGCTTGCTTTTAGAAATCTTTTGATTAATTAAAGGTGAAGTTACCATCTGTACTTTACAAATAGTCCTCAAGCTATGACCACAACTGAGCCCAAAATTTACGTTGCTAAGTGAGTTTTGTCCATTTTATGACTTTTCTTGCCATATTTGTTAAGTGAATCACTGCAGTTCTTAAATTAGTAACATGGTTGTTAAGTGAATCATATTTCCCCATTGATTTTGCTTGTCAGGAGGTTGCAAAAGGGGATCACATGACTACGGGACACTGCAACCGTCATAAGTGTGAGTCAGTTGTCAAGCATCCAAATGTAAATCACATGACTGTGGGGATGCTGCAACGGTCATAAGTGTGAAAAATGATCGTAAGTTGTTTTTTTTCAGTTCTGTTGTAACTTTGAACTGTCACTCAATGAATTGTTGTAAGTCAAGGACTACCTGTATCTTATTTTTTTTTATAATATTGCATAGTCTTTACTTTTGAATTGCTTTAGTTTTATTTCTTCTGTAGATATTCTTAACTTCCATCTTTTCAATGCAAGCTGCCAAGATTCTTTATGTGGTTGCATGGGCATAGAAAGGTTGGAATTTTTCCCCTCTAAAACAAAGTTTCATTATAAGTAATCTGTAACAAACATTATTTTTTCCTTAGAATGATTTCTAGAAGTTTTACTTCTGATAAGCCCTGAAAGAAAATGCTTATTATTATTTACCAAGTTCTTTGAAAATGTAGTATTCCTACATATGCTTGAATTATACAATAGTTTGCCTCTTTTGAACAATGCCCATTACAAGTATACATGTTTTGAAGAAATTACAATATTATTTGAACATGTTGAAACTTGGAAACAAGGAATCTCTTTGTCCAATTATATCACAAACATTTTCACTTCTCATTTTTATTATTTGGGTTTTTGTGATATTCGTAGATTTAATTCAGGACTGGATTCTTTTCTGTGTCTGATTTTGGGTGAGAAAATCAAATAAGATTTGCATTTATGTTAAGGCTTTTTATATCACAATAGCAACATATAGCAAGATGATCCACTTCACCTGCTGTTAAGTTTTTTTAAGAGTAGATTTCAAGTTTTGGCTCCTTGACATTAAACCTGATTCTAAAAAAAGAAATCTAGAACTAATATTGGCCTAGGAGCTAAGAATATGCAGGGTTACAACTCTCTGTAAGAGAAAAAAACTGGCCATTATCCAAAATTTGATTATTACAAATTATCATTATAAAATTTCTAGGTTGAAATTTTGCAGGAGTGTCATCAGGTTTGACCAGTGGGGAGGTTAGAATGGACCATGAAAGTCCATTTAAGTCATTAGGAGCAATTAGCTAGCATAAACATTCGAACTTTTCAGTCCACATTACAGCATCAGAAGATGAAGGTAAGCTGCTCAATAAGAGGCAAAAGCACATCAGAGATTCTCTAGCTTGCAAAAAATTTAATAAGCAACACCTGGACAATTCTTACAGTTTCAAATCATCAAGGATATTAGGGCCACCAACCCAATCTCAATGTAGACAGTCAAAAGTTGGAACAAATCACATTATTGAAGGGAAAACCACTTATACTTTCTAGGTACCTTCTCCACAATCTATTACACAGAGCACATAACAGGAGAGGCAAATCAGGGCATGGTTCATAATTACAGTGAAAATCAGATCTGAATGGAAGATTTTTTTAAAAAAACGAACCAATTAGTTCAAAGGGCCATTTAAAAATATCATAGGTGCAGCAATCATTAGAGGAAAGGAATCAATTTCTCTGCAGAACTGAGAGTGTCATGCAAGTTACGCATGTTTAGGAAATCTACATTATCTAATCACATACTTTTGTAAAAACATGGAGAAAACTGAACCCCAAGATGAAGCAAAAAAAACCCCACAAAATCCCCATAACACAAAAAAGAAATAAAGCAAATAAATTCAAAAACATTTATCAAAATTAAAGTACCCGAATTATGCATTTTATTAACAAATGCATTTTTCAACAAAGACCACAGTGCCTCAACCAAACTATATCCCCATGCAATTCTGTAATACAAAAGTTGTATCTACAGCAAACAGCAAGTTTTAAAAATTCTTCACCACAAAGAAGAGGGGAAGAACAAACCTGGGGAGAAGGTGGACACAAAGTGGAGAGAGAGAGAGAGAGAGCATAATTTGAAGAACCTCCTAACTCTTCAGTATACTTCAGTCAGGGATCAGTTGCATATAATGTATTTGTTTAGAAAACCCAAACTGTACCTGCATATAGATCTGAAACG